AGTATCTCAGTATTTTTCCAATACTGAATGATATCAGATGGGAATTTTGATGTTTCCTGCAGCTGTAAGCCTTCAAAGCAGAAAAAATTGTCTATCCTAATCTAGTATAGGACCATTTCTAATTAGGTTTTCGTTTTTTCTATCAGCAGACTCCCCCCTCATTGGGATAAAAATCGATTCTTCCCCCCATTTGTACTTTATTCGGACTATCTCGGGAAATATACAGCCTCGCGATTAGGCTGGCTCTCACTTTCTCTCTTCAGTCTGGATGATAATGTCTATTCAGTAATGCATCTCCAACCATTTCAGGGTTTAAGTTTCGTTCATAGTAATATCGCTTGTCATTTGTTGTCGCTGGATGTCGTTCAGTGTCGCTAGATAGACTGCACCGTCCCCTACTCCCACCCTACGGTGGTGGCGTAGACCGCGCCATGCTCTTGTTTTCCCATGTAGATTATGAAAGTTGAGTCAATGAATAGAAAAGTCGAATAAAAAAGTTGTTGAGGGAGAGAGTGGAAGTTTCTTAGATCGTGGAAGCTCGCAGTAGGTCAACTTTCAGTAGGGTTGTTGATGACAGCAGATAAGTAGTGATAACAAGTGATAATAAATGATAAAAGGTGTTACAAGACGAAGATTACTTGGTTAGTTGCGCAAAAAAAACTGTTCTCTCAGCTAAGAATCCTTCCTAAGAGCCCCATTACATTCACACGTAGTCGTCTGAAGACTGTAATTTCGCTAATATCCAGTTCCAAGTTCATTTGAAGATTGATTTGAGAGCCTGAACTTTGTAATAAAGTAATAATATCTGATATAATATAATAATATATAATATAATAATATCTGAACTCCGTTAGTATTCACCTACTTAGTATTTCTGACGAGTATTTTTTATTCTGCGAAATCATTTTCCTTTTTTGAATGTCATGTCCGCCGTATTTACCTAATGACACCCTTTGTCAGCCACAATCAGCACTTTAAAAGCGCGTTGAACTAGTTATCCAGCGACATTTTGCCCCAATGTTTGTCATCGGATAAATGTTGGCTTGGTTTTTAAGTTAACACTCAAGGAGAGCTAACATTTATATAGTCGTTCTGCCCCCNCCCCCCCCCCCCCCCCCCCCTTCCCACGTTTCTGCCCGCGCTGCGCTCCTTACTGCTCAAGGTACTAGCCATCTAGCCCTTGTCAATCCGATGGTCATAAGTATGTCGCGTAATGTCGCCAATTATCGCTTACTGTCGTTGGGTGTCGCGTACTTTTGCGTATTTTCTTTTTTTATTTAAAATTTCTCTTTCATTTCGCTGACAAAACATGAAATTTGCAAGTGGGCGGTTCATTTTATAATGGGCGGTATTCGAAGGATGCGATTCGAAGGGAACCTTAGGAAGTGTGATGTGCCTTTGTGATTTAGCACTTTAATATTTCTTTACTGTTGACCATATTTTGAATGAAATCTCAGACTCGGGGTTGTGGGCTGGGTTAAACGCATCCTGTGCACGATTCTAATGGTACTATCACCTATCGCTTGCTGTCAATTGCTCTCCAGATTCTGCCAGTCGCTCGTTGTCTCCCACGTTGTCGCTTGAAGTCGCGCATTGTCGCGCGCTACCGCTTTTATGCTTGGACTTTGTTACGAATGTCTTTAACCATTGTTTAACCTATTTCCGAATCACTTTCTAGCTCCTTGTGTTGCTTTCTTCAGTCCTTTATCGATCTCATCGATCAGACTATTATCGATCGCCTATACTCGTGCCTGGTTGGAATTCTTCAAGCCTTGGGTAATGGGTGATAACTTGTCCTAGATGTATTACCGGAGTTCGTGATGGGGAGGGAAATGTCCTTCGGGAGAAACGCAGGCAATTGGAAGCAGTCACTTATTTTCTTATAAAACTTCCTGCAGGGCAAACGGAATTCCTGTATGATACCAGGCTCCGGTAGCCTGTAAGCTCATAAGCTACAAAGTATAAACCGATTCATCTGGTATGACCTGCTTTCCGATCAATACACCTCAGTATCGCGGACAACTGTCACCCACAAATCATGGTTTTGGCGCCAGTCTGACATGTACCTTTTCTTTAAATGGGCATCATGCATGGATGTAATGTGTTTTTGGCTGCATAGCAACCCACCATTGATGTCTACTCGTCGACATGGTCGAAATGCCACAGACAGATCCTACTTTCTATGGATTATTTGCCCTACCTTTCCCCCTCTTGTGTTCTGTTTCATTGTAAAATGCCTTTTTCTCTCAATGGGAAAATCACGGATCAGCTTTCCTTCTTTTTTCACTACGAAGAAGGTGCATGTGATTTGGAAAGTGCAGTTACGTGATCCCTTCATGTATGTGCTTAGCACTACATGAAGGGATCCTACGTAGGATGGGTGGATGGGCGAGACCAGGAAAGGTCTGAGGCACAGGGCAATGGAGGAGTTGATCAGTCCCGCTTTGGGGATGAACTCTTGCATTAAACTTTCTTTCAAAATCCTATCGCCGTTTGTATGCCTATGTGGCCTATAATGCGGAACCGAACGATGCGACGGTCATGCCAGCGAAGGGTTGAAGCCACATTTCCCAATGGTTTTCATGTACCCTTTCCCAGTTTGAAAACGGATGACGAAAAAGGCCAGAGTTCACAGAATCCGTGGCAGATAAGGCTTCCAAAAATTTCTAAAAACAGGGAATGGTAAGAGATCATGACAGTACTGATATCGAAGGGGCAGGTGGTTACAGTCGTGTGTAGTCGCATGTTGTTCGAATTCTCAACATGTGTGCTCTATTGTGAATGACGCAGCCTACACAACACCACTGAAACACGTCCGCCCTCATGTGTATCGACGATGACGGTCCTTCGGCCCTTATTGAGTAACAGGGCTGTTTTCGGCCCGATAAGCCCCTATGTGGCATATTTAGAAGCCATAGGTTCTCGCTAAGTCAAAATCCTGGGAACCACTTTTTTTCGTGAACTGTGCCTTTGAATTGAGGGGGAAGATTGTGGAAGGATGTTGTTACTTTGGTTATCGATTGATTGAGCCTAACTTCGGTAACCGTGTTTATCGATTGGAAGCGCTAGCCGTCAACCACGTCGTTTTCCCCTCTTTCCTCATTCCTTGACTTTAAAGCAACTTTCTACATTTCTTTTTTTATATTTGACTTCTCTAGGGCGGAGGTGGTATATCACACGCACGGTCAGGGGTTCAAATCCCGGATCGATGCCCGCCTAGGCCAACCAAGCCTTCCATCCCTCCNAGGCCACATACGCACTCATTACGCCACTACGATTCTGAACGGAAGTCGAGTGCGGAAGCGCATCCCTCAGACGGGATTGATTAACGCCAAAAACTTTATCCTTTATCCTTTATATTTGACTTCTCTACCATATAATGCTCATTCGTTTGTTTGCTATGTTATTACTAATTATTGTCTAAATTATATACTCTCTAAAAATATAAATATATTCCTCATACAGTCTTCTTCATCGTGAAAACTTCATGCTATGCATTAATTTCCCGCTGTTAACGGTGTATACCATTTGTCATCGTCATCGCTTTCGTAATCCTTTTTTTCCAGAATGGCCGGACTATTTGACGCACCTCACTCGACTTTTCAACTTTCCTGTTCAATACGAATCAATATATCGATTTTTCCAGGATGGCACCCTCAGGGGGTGATCCGTATCGATCACCACCGATTATACGAAAACGGACGTCATTCCCTTTATTGGTGGTATTCCGTAAACTGCTCAGTCTGCTGGTCACCTTATTGTTCATCATTGTCGTTACCGTCAGTATTCCCGTCTACCTCATTCTAGGCATTATTGGATTCGTCAAAAAGAAATCACGGCGATGGACGTACGAAGACGGGTGGGTGACCCAAAACAACAGCTCACTCCTATCAATTCACCAGTTGACTTGGTCCCCGAAAATTTCGAGGAGTTTGCACGATTATCGATTGATTCAGGTGTTGTACGCATCCATGGCCGATTAGTGGTACGATTCCAGAATTAGCGGGTATGATACTGACGGGTAACGTAGACATGGACGCACTTAATGATGGAGTGAGTTCAAGCCTACTACCTTAAAATCAATAATATCGATCAATATCTGGCTGTCGATTGCAGATTCAACGGGTCATAGCTGATAGTCGATCAAATCTTTATAAAAATCCATCCAGTGATGTTAGCTCTCAACTAGGTAAATTATGGGATCAAAGGTTAGCCTCATATAGATTTTTGATGATTTGAATTTGTTGTCGATTATCGATCGATTGCGTTTTCAGCAGTTATCGATTGACAACCGATAACGATTTATTGGACCTTCAACGACAGGAGAATGTGTTACCAACACATCAAACCACTTTGTCGTTAGTACCTGAGTATTCACATGCTCTTAAGGTAAGTTTCATCTCTTTGGATGGATGACCAGTAAGTGGAGGGTTCAGATTGAAGTTAGAATAACTTGGAACCGAGAAAAATCTCAAAAGGCATTGTGAAGTTCCCGAGGTTGGATGCACAGTTCACGCAATGCTCACAAAGACGCACATGTTGCACGCAGGCAGCTTTCTGTAACCAGCTCTACGCAATGGCACACACACTTGAGCGATTCGTCCAAATACTCCGGAATTTACTACTTTTCGAAGCCTCGTATTTCTCCGCTGACATTTGCGTTTTCTTCGACCTTTTTGTATTAGTCTTTTTGTATTAGTTTGCAAGGGAAGTTCTGACCGTTTTATCAGCCAACTTTCAGAAAATCATAACTCATCTCAAAGTGAACATATTTATACAGAATAAGCCCCATTCGATACTACACATTTTTGCGAACGTGATGCAATTCTGCCTATCCCATTCTTATAAAAGTGCCTAAATCTGGATCCCAAGAACTCTAAAAAAGCAGCTTCCACGTCGCCCTAATTTTTGAGTACTCGATCCTTTAAGAAGCGTCCAGATGTTTGAATAAATGGTAGTCAGTTGGTGACAGGTCTGGTGAGTAGAATGGATGAGGGAGAGCTTTGATTCGCAGCTAGTTCAACTTCTAGAAGAAAATTTGTGACACATGCGTCGCGCGTTGTCGTGCAAGAGCAGGGGACCGTGGCGACTGACTAGCGCTGGCTGCATTTGCCCCAGTATCGTGTACAATCGTGAGTATGATCACAGTGAGACTATTTGGTAATGGTTTTATCGGACGAAGAAAAAAAGTGGATCAATCCGTGGCTGAACCACCAAATTGTGACCATTGTCTTCTTGACGTGTGAACTTTATTTGGGAAAGGTTTTTGGAAGCTCATCCACACCTACCCGCTGAGCAGAACCCTTCCTGTTATCACACAGGTTCCATTTCTCATCACGCGTTGCAATACGATTTAGAAAAGGTTCAACATCATTTTTTTCTCAACAGCAAACTTGAAACCTCTAAGCGCTTTAATTGTTGCTGCTTCTTTGACTTCGTGTGGCCCCATTTGTCAAGTTTCTTCACCATTCCGAGCTGCTTGAGGTTGGCAGCGATGACTGCGTGAGAGACACCCATCCTCTTGGCAATCTCTCTCAAAGGTTGACGTCGATCCTCTTCGACTATTCTTAGCAAAGCATCGTGATCAACTGACGTGACGAACGGCCAGAACTTTCCTTACAAGCTAATACAATTCTGGGCTATCATTTCCACTAATCGTCTGAAACTAAACACACCGAACTGATCGTAAGCTGACCTTTCAACACAATTGCTCTTCAGTCGGTAGAATTGTGAAGTTTTTGAGCCGAAAGAATAAGTCCAGTTCGTTGATGAGCTAGGGTTCACCTAATCCACGACTAACATGCCAAACCCCAGCCCTTCATTCTCGGGTCATATCATGGGAATCACTAGGAGTTCTACCAGCATTGCTCTGGTGATTGGTGCTGACTGGTCACTGATTTTTGTAATTTAGAACTTGATGACTTCGTCACTATTAGTTACATCGACGGCTGCCGACTGTGCTTTCATGTGCGTACAACGGTTACTCTGTATTTGTATGAATGAGCGGACGTGTTTTGAGGTTTGGTTTCGAGCTTTTTCACAAAATTATTTCGGAATCAGTTCACTGCCTCATGGCGCGATACATTTGTTTTAGGTTGAGCTTTATTTTCACTAATTTCATTTCATTTCCTTCCTCCTTACCTGCTTCAGATGGAGCCTCACGAACCTCTCCAAGGTTGGCAAGTTCATGTATTTGGTGGATTTCTTCACACGGCTATTTGTATGAGCGTTAAGGTGAGACCTTTTTGAGTGATTGGTTGTTATCGATTGAGGTGTTGTGCTGTTTACGGAGACGAGAACTACCTTGTGTATCGGCCCTGGATATGTTTGTTTTCAGTTCGCAATGGATGGCCCGTATTCTTTGTTGGCACTTGCCTTACGGGGACAAAACCCCGTTTGGAAATATTTGGAATCCAAAGATCATGTGCTTGCTAGGAATCGGTCAGTTCGATCAATAAATTGAAGGATCAATCGTTCAAAGCTTTCAAAGACTATATTGATTTAGGAGAGGGCCAAAGGTATTGACACATCAGGGCTCGTCGTCGATTTTGATGGACGTCATTCCAGAAGATGCTTCAGATGGAAAAAGTCCCGTACATCGAATACAACGTGACTCGTCTCTACTTAAGAACGGTATTTATTAGTCAGCCAAATAGAGCGAATATTGAATGGGAAACGCCTTTTACATGCTTTTCGGTATATCTGCAATTTTGGACAGTAATTTAGCTTTGTGACTACCCTCGGGATACTTTAAGGCTAACTTGGCTTCAAATTGAGTGTTTTGAAAGGACCTCATTCTCTCTCCACTATACTTTTTTTGTGAGTGACAGCACATGAAAGGCGTTGAGGATTAGCCACTTTTCGAATTCAAAATTTTTCACTAATTGGTTTTTATCTGAAAACTTTGGTAGTATTACTTATATTAACATTTTTACCCTTCGTTTTATAACTGTTCTTACTCATACCATCGATTGGTTTCGCAAACGTTATTTGGCTAGCCATTCTTCTGATCATCGAGGGTAGGAGACGACCAATCTTGCGTAGATTACATAGCTCACTGTTGCAGATGGTGTGGAATCCTAATGATCCGCTCAAAATGAAAGAATGAATCTTTTTTGCGGTGGGGCTAGGTATGGCAGTGATTTCCGCTACAGTGTATTTTAGGGTCACCGTATCCCAAACCTTCTATGTCTATGTTATTGAATAATATAAATTTTATTTTATTTTTTTATTTTAAATTTTATAAACACATTGCAGTAGCTGTGCCTGCCATGCATCGTCGATGTTGGATGACTATCAAACATCCAGAATTGTTACTGCGAGCCGAAAAGCTTCTACGTGCCACCACTTCTGAGCTCTACATCTCATTGATCGCAGGCTCATTGAGGAATTATTTTCGGGAGCAGGTAAGCCGTTTTCAGTTGCTTTTAGTGTTCGCATTTGTGATAACCGGAGAGCAGGTGTTTGGGGACAGATCGTCTGGTACTACATCCTGCTAATCTGGAAGAGTTCATATGCCTAATAAATCTACAACGATCCAAGAAATGGGGTTCGGGTAAAGTGGAATGTTTGTGTGATTGCGAGTTTGTGGGATAGAGAACAACTGAGAATGTTCGGAACGTCTTTAAACCTTTCCCCTCCTCATCTTTCTTTTTACTCTGCCTTCCAGCTTGGGACCACCTTTCTGCCACTAGCCCACCCCTTGCTGTCCATGCGATGGTACAACCCAAGGAATTCCTTGGGCTAGAGTGAACTTAATCACAATTTAAAAACAAAGATCTCGCTTGCAGGGAATTCTCCATCCACCCGATTTGGCGTTCGTTGCCCCTTGCACCTCACGTGGGTTTGCGCCGATCGTTGAGCGTTGCGAAACGAATCTGCTCTCATTTCAGTTGCCGACGAGCGTAGAAGGTAAGTTCCTGATTGGAAGTTAGTAGGTAGTATTGTTCAATGAATCTACTCGTCACAGGAGCGATTCCTCGATTGTGGGCGGTACAACGAAGCGTTGCAAAAGTGATGGACGGCCCATTGTTAGGAGCGCTGACGATTTTTCAAACCATCAGTGAGTATAGGCTTTTTTGCTGAAAATATTTAGCCAAAACAGTTTTTTGAGTTGTTTTGAGACCATAATCTCAGACCATAATCTTTTCTGCGATTTGATGATCCGTCAAGAGTGATTCCCATACATATAGGTTGAGAAGTATCCGGTGTCCTTAAAAGGAACATTTCGAGTTTTATACTCTCAAGACATTTCATAAAAGGGCACCAGACATTCTTCTATTTTTTCGTGTTGGAGGAATTTTTCGAATTGCCGTGATTAGAGCGCATTATGAACTGAATTCGAACTTTGATATGTTTCAGCCCGATTCTGTCTCCCGACGGCAATCGCAAAATGCGCCCTTCGGGTCGTTTATCGCTCACATGCTGTCTACTTTGCCTTCTACAGAGTCAATAACAACAGGGTTGGTTCTCATGCATAGTTTATTTATGATAATATTTAGTGATACTCCGTGTTAATGAGTGATATAATGAACAAGCAACCATGGGACTTATCGTGAGTGGTTTGAAGCCCATAGCTGTCGGAGAAGAGATAAGGGCAAGCCGAAGGACGAAGGACTATAGTTAAAAGGCTTTACCCATAGTTTATCATTCATAATTTATTATGGGTGATTGAAATAAGGAGCTAACGGCGGTAATTGATGAAAATCCATTAAGGAAAGCATGGAAAAGGAGTGTAGGAGTTTGAAGCATGTATGAAAGCTTCACAGGGCGTTTTAGGGAGCGGGGGGAGGGGGTTAACATAGGTTGGGGTATGAGCAGGTGTATGTTCTCCGGTGGAATGTGAGCTTCTTCAAGTTCAAAAGTGGTCAGGTCGCCATTTCTTTCTAGAGCAGAAGAGTTTAGGTGATCGGCAAGGGATGAACATAGAGACAGCTTGAACACTCAAAGCTGCTTTAGTTTCGAAAAAATAGGGTAGGGCCGCCTTTGGGACAAGATATATTCATAGATATGGCAGTTGGATAAGTAAGGGTTGGTATGGTATAAGATGAATACTAATATATCGGTAGTCTCGTCCTGGAATGGGTGTCAGACTTCGCCCAAGTGGGACTATCGCTAATTAGGTTATGGTTAGGTGACTGGGCCACAATATTTGTTAATTAATTATATTATGTTTACCATGACATAATTTTACTGCCCTGCGTGAATTGTTGTTTTCTAAGATCGCTTCTGATGCTCTTATTCGGACGATGTTCGTTTTTCCATCATTGGCTGCATCGGTAAGAGCGGCGTTTGTATTCGTGCAACATGGCGAAGGCATCGATGTAAGCGTATCGTTGTGTAATCGGACTTTTCCGGAACCACATCGCGTACTGGATTGCTTTCAGGTGGGTCCCACGCAGTTTGCAGGAAAAATAGGGTAGTTATCCAACATTATTTGCCTTTGATACTCCTTGGACAGGAGCCTTGTATACCTACAGACTTTTGCCGTTGGAAAATCAAATAAATGGCAGGTGATCGTCCGAATAAAAAAAATACCTCATGAGTCGAAAGTAACGAGCAAGCTTTTTTCGGACGAGTTCGTGCGAGCGGGCGGTGAAGTCGTCCCCAGGCATAAACTCGTCCGCAACCGTCCCCGCGGTGATTAGACAACGGTTTTTTTTTGTAGGGCGTTTCGTCCCCTTTGATCTGCTCTTAATGAGTTTCTTCTTGTGGACCAAATTAAAATAAACAAACTACTTTTCAGCGTGAAACTCAGCTACTTCTTGATCACCTCTCCCTCCGACTACTTTCTCTTCCACAAATTACCGTGCTACCCGGTGTACCAGCATGCCTTCGACACGAACGAACCGAAAACGAAGTAGACAGTGACACTTTTGGTGCAAACGCCTATCTTAATCAAAAGGTTAGTTGTGGGATTTTGTCGATTCTTTGTTCGCTTTCACGCTATTGTTTGATTTGGAGTAATCTTCTGAACTGAAGAATTGGGTTCAGTTTTGAGAAAGATTTTGTTTTTATATCCCTACCTTATTACACCACTCCTTCATAATAGTCTCACCCTTTCCTGTTTGACTCACTCCATCTTTTTTGAATGTTGTTTTGTTTATCTGTACTTTTTAAATAGTATTGGGGCAGTAATGAACAGTCCCATCCTGTCAACGTCCCTATTTTATCCAGTCTCCACCGTCAGAGTGTGTTTTGCGATGCCGCTCTAGGTTGCTATTTGTGGGGGTGTTGGAGATACCCAAGTCAGTACTTGCAATCACCAGGGCTCTGGTTATGCCTTTTTCCGCATGATATCGCTGATTACTGATTGATTCAGACTGAGCAGCCGGAAATCAAACTTGAACGCGACTATTCACTTGAAGAACTCTATCAGCTCTTAGATGTTGTGCAAAACGAACTCGACAGTATGCGATCGAACCCAGAAGAGGTTAGCCGATTCTTACTTGATTTCCCTGAGTATTCTTTATTTATTTATTTATTTTCTACAGTTTATTCCTGTAATTTGAATTTTTTTGATTATCTTACACAGCTGCTATCCCTCTCTAGCCTTCGACTTCGCTTTGTAATTGCTCAACCCCAACTTTTTGATCAAGCAATTCGATCATGGTAGTTCTGACTCTGTCAAATTCCCTTTTTCGGCCTTTCAGCGAGACTTTTCCTTAATTGCTCGGGTTAAAATTTTCCCAATCAGCTGTTCTCTTATTTCTAGACCTTCGTTTTATTCCAGGGTCTTCGAAGCCATTATATCGAACGATTAACTCGACTCGAAGAGCAAATGCAGAACTTCCATGAGTGCATCTCCCAAAAACTGAGTGCTGAGAATGTTGGCGTACGTAGTGGCGATGAAGAAGTTGGTGATGCCATTGCCAGTGTTTTGGCTCCATACCGCGAAGAACCAGGTTAGTCTACGGTCAACACTCGAACTCATTTACTGGGTATTTCGCTTGAACAACACAATGTTTCACTGTCGATGCTGTGTTGAAGACTGGCTAAGGGTTAAGGTGGGCACGGCACTAGAGGATCTAAAAAATTATGAAACTTTTTTCGCCTACGATCCATGGAGGAACTGGTCTCAAACGAAGGGATCTAGGCTGGAGTCCACCAACGGTTGTGTTCTTTAACCCAACATGGGTGCACAGGGGAGGAAAAGGCTTATGCCATTGCGTCATCTGTTTCCATGAATCCTGTAACCGTAGGAAACTATCGCAGATAGACTGGTAGATGAAGACAGTACTGCAGTGGTTGTAGGACATGTGGGAGGGCAGAGGTGGTGATGGGGTGAGGGGTTGTGTGGGTTGAGATGGGGAGGGAACAGGACAGTTAACACGGATCGCACTGTGCGGATCAGTGTTTTTTGTTTCTTTCTTCCATCATCTTTACCATCAGCAGGCAGCCATCTAGCCAAAAAACTTCCGCAATCTCAATCCAATGATTGAGATTGCGGAACTTTTTTGGAATGCTGATTTTATAATACTTTTTTTTGAAAGAGTTTTTTCAGGCACATCGGGCTTGCGACGGTTTAGCCGAGAGTACTCCCGAACTGAAACGTCGACCACAAGCCGGAAAAGTTCAAGAGCTTCAATCTGAGGCCTGGATATGTCGACGTACGGTAGAGAGCTGAATGATCTGGTTGCTCGATTGCCAAGAAGAATATTTCCCTCATTCATCCTCACTTGTAACAGCTCCTGCCTTTCGATCGAGTCTGGAACAGCAGTTTCCTGTCCTTCCCACAATACATATCTGTTCATTTCTACCGGTTTCCAGGGGTGTTTCCATGGCCAAATAGTGTAGGACCAAGATACATAGTTTTAGACTCATGAATTTCAGCCAAATATCCCCTCCGTTTCCGATCGATTATCGATTTTTCCCCGAGATCCTTGTGATATGTTGTTCCGATTCTTCCTATTGTGTACAAAGCCCACTTGTTTTCATTCAATCCTTTCGTTCTGTCACTTTTCGCTTGTTAGCGGTCTCATGCGCGGTGTTTTTATTGCTTGATTTATTGATTTATCGATTTTCCATATTAGTTTCTATTTAGTCGCAAAAGCTGCCTGGTCTCCAAATGCTATGAACGGGTTCCATGGAGCTTGAATACTCTGATGTGTATGCTGATATGATATTTGCCTCGTATCATGATTTTTAAGCTAGGTGTTGGATCAGAAAATCGATATCTCTCGTGTATTTCATAGATATTGATCGATTGACCAACTCCTGGTTTAAAAGAAAATTTCACTGTATTCACATATCATTTTGTGTTTGTAATTATAATTTTATGTTGATTCAGTTTGCTACAGTAAATGCTATTCATCTGAATGTCTACAGTACATCACCCAGAGACCCTCAAAACGCTTCCCCGATCTGCTGAAGGACTGAGGACCTTATTCGAGTTTTAGAAACCTCCATGAGGGCAACTTCAACTACGCCCAGTTTCAGACTGATTGGTGGACGAAGAATTTTATATGATGGCGAGATTTACCCAGTGAAAATGCAAAAATCTTGTGGGAAAAGGGCGACAACCGTCCAATTAGGACCACTTAGGTCTGTAGTGGTGTCATTTTATCAAAATCCCTGAGCAGTTGGTCTCAAATCTAATTGAAAGTTTCCAAACGATTTACGGTAGCCTACATCCGAACCTTCCCACAAGAGCGCTTTTGATACTGCTTTATTACGTGTGGTAAGATGGTGCACAGGTAGTGAGGGCAGCTCATGGTAGAGAGGTGGCGAGATCAACGCTCGGGTGCCATTTACTTTTGCCAATCACCTTTATCACTTATCAGTCTGCCGTCTCTCCTTTAAAGATTCACCGCACTCAACCTGATTGAAATACGATTCACCTGCGATAGGGGTCGGTGGCACAGCCATCATTGGCGGGTCCAGCACGGGTGTGGGCGCCGTGCATCGCCTCTGTCTGGCGATCGAGTAGCCGCATCCGAGCAGCCCACCGCACAGCGCTCGCCGAACAAGTGCCCTTCCCCCATGGGAAGGTGCTGCGACTGGCGACGTCGTGCGGTGGGAGCCCGCCATGGAGGCTAATTTTTTGCCCAGCGAGGGTTGTGTAACTCCTGCGGGCCCTTTTGAAGGCGCTGCACGGCGGTGAAGTTGCCGGTATCGGCGGCTGCCGCCGTGGCCTCCTCCATGTCTGGAGCGAGGGTCGCGCGTGGAATTTTCAGTG